TACACTACACTAATTACATTACACCACAACTACAACTCCACTACGCTACAACTACAACTACAGTTGCAGTACATCACACTACATCCAGCAGTTGTGGGTGAGGTGACCACTGCAACCATTGCAAACATTCCAGCAAACACAACTCCAACCACCTTTCGGTCAATCAGTGGATTCGCTCTGCCATCCGTGATTCACAACAACCAACGTCTCCTATAGGTTTCCTATTCTGAAACTTCCGCCACCGCCTTGTGCGGTACTACTGGTAATCTGGTTGGTGGATTCGACCCCTCTGAAAAATATGAAAGTCAGTTGGAATATGTCTATTCCCAACATATGGAAAAATCAAATTCATGTTCGAAACCACCAACAAGTAATACGGATACAATGGTGGTTGGTGGATTCGACCCCTCTGAAAAATATGAAAGTCAGTTGGAATATGTCTATTCCCAACATATGGAAAAATCAAATTCATGTTCGAAACCACCAACAAGTAATACGGATACAATGGTGGTTGATATATCACTATTATTCGTATCCCAGTGCCACCCAAGTCACAAATTTGGACTTCATCGGCCCCTCCTGCGGCAGCCCCACCGCCTCCGTCACCGACTCCGTCGGAGCGCTTCTGAGAGGGTCACGGCGGTCACGGATCACCTGGGATTTCTTTGTTTTGGCGAAGCCAGAAATGAATGGCCTCATGATTGACCTCATTTGACCCGGAACAATTGGGAGTCGAACCACATTTTTTGAGCTGAAAATTGGGGTTTGACATATGATTTTACCGTCACACAATTCATCAAAAACAAGTATTTGACCATGAAGAATTTGATTTGGCCCAAAACATTTGGTTTGCCTTGTTGCAGCCTTCCTTTACCACCCACCATAAATCTCGGTTGCGCTATCAAAAACAGCAGAAGCCAGATCCCTGAAGCGCTGGGCTAAACATGATTAGGAACTGGGCAACATCTCTTTATATCAATTTGTGTTACATTATCACCTGAGAAAAAACGACGCACACACACACATATATATAATTTCATATATCACTGCGACCTACCATGACCATGGAAGCTGAGGAATCGCCCGCGGCCACTTCAGGGTCAGCACTTCAAATACTTTGTGCATTGTTTTGATTGGGTTTTGTCATGCTTTGCTAATGGACAGGGTTGGCCATTTGTGGGGCCGGGGCCTGTCCCAATCTCTTTGTTTCATCAAGTTTCATCAGTCCATTCCGAGGGACACTGTATGGTATGGGATGCAATCCTGTCAAAAGGGGACAGGGAATTGCAAGAGGTGCCCTTTTTTATATGAACACATAGGCAAACCCAGTAATAGGCAACTTTTCTAGATTTTCAGGGGACAGGTGTTTTTGAAGATGCTAACATCCGCGATCCATTCGAGCTGTAACACTGCATATTTGGTGACAGAAATAGGGCCGTTGTGTCTGAAAATGTGCCCAAAGACTTGCGAGTGGTGTTTAGATGTGCTTGCTACTTAACCATAAGCTTTTGAACAAAATGCAAGCCCTTGATACCACCTGGCCTGATAGATCATCTACAATCTACAAGTTCTCCAGCACCATCTTCTGTGATTGATTGCATAAACCCTTGAGCTGGAACACAGGGGGTTCAAAACAATTCCATACAAGCTTCACTGATGATTCACATTTTTTCATTGAAAGCCTCAAGGAAACAAACATCGTCATCCAACCTGCCCCACAAAAGCATATGACTTTAATCTCTTAACATGTGCATATGTCAGGCAGCTATGTCAGAGTAAAAGATGCTTCTGCGCCCCACGTTCACTTCTAACCTTGGGGCCCCCTTTCCAAAACCTATTGCTTGGAGCGGGATAACGCAATTTCCCATGTCCGGTTCGATCACACCAGTCTAATCCCCCAGCCAGCAGAACTACCAGTGCCTAGTCAGCCTAGTCACCCAAACCACGCATCCAACCGCCAGAAAAATGAAGGAAAGACCTATGACACAGTTTCCTCGGTTGCAGCTACCAACTGAAGTTCCTCACGAAAGGGCGGTTTCCAATTCCATTTTGGACGCTACACAATAGGGTTTGAAAATCCTGAAACGGGGGAGAAGCTTTGCTGCAATTCGATCCCCTCATGCCAAGGAGGCTTGGCCCGGTCGGAACTCTGTTCAGAACATCCTGAAGGCTTTGCTGCCCTATGGCTGAAAAATGCTGAACATATATTTCAATTCATGTCCAAGTTGACCATCGGTTGTTCATGTGAGGGATTCTTTTGGATCATTCATGGTGATTCAACGTTTGCCCTCTCAATTGCCAGATTTTACGCTGAGCGGTGCTCGTGGAAAATACAGCCTTGGGTGAAACCAAGGAACGTGTTCCAGCATTTTCTATACCTGAGACTTTTCGTCGCGTGCCTGGCCAGGACAGGAAATGGCATGGAGGATGCCAACCTGCTAATGTTGTAAATCCATGTCCATCTATGTAATATAAGAATAAATAACCCAACAGTTTACCAAACAAGTGGTGGTATTAACTATACCCATTGGAGGTTACCGTTGCGTTTAGTGAATGATTCCTATACAGCGTGCACTGTGATCCCCACAGCAAATGGAACGTAAATATCCATTTCCATTGCAGGGAATTACTTATCTATATATTTTTCGCAGTGTGTGTATATATACATATATATATATATATATTGCGCAATATAATTATATGATATATGTCTATATTGTCTATATTGTCTATGCGTGTGTCCCTGTATATCATGTGCTTTTAAGGATTCTTCCGGAGATTCTCAGGCGTGAAGTTCTGCCCCCCCCCCCACCCCCAAAAAAAAAAGCATTGAAAGGGCTCCGAAAAAATCTACCAAATCTACTGTGAAGCCCTCTGATCTATTCTGCATTCCAAAACCCAACCATCACACACTATATATATATATTGCAATGTGCTTCTCCCAGTGCCAAGTTGGTTTATAACCTCCATTAACTATCACCAACTTCGAAAAATCAACCATAAACCTATGTTGGTGCAAAACCAACTAACAAACTCAGGCACCACCTGGCACTTCTCCAAATCCCCATGATATTCCATTTCCATGTAGAATCCCAGGCGCCTAGCTCTTCATCGGACTCCACGACCAGCGGTGCTATGGCGCATGGCATGGCTTTCCGGCGGGCGCCAAAATGGTGGCTTGGGCGTTGGCTTGGCTTCAGCATCCAGGCTTCGTTTTCTTGGGAAAATCTACAGGAAAACTTGGCTTTTGACCATCAAATACAGGAGGATTCCTCTGAATGTTCCCTGAAACCGATCTCATGATATATGGAATTGTATGCAATAATACATATATATATATATTATTATGAGATTAGATGATTAGATGTTATTGATACCAACCCAGGATTGATAACCCCTAGTTCTACTGAGTTCACAAATTGGGTGGTACCATTTAGCAAGGGAAATATCACTATTTGAGGAACCACACTTGACTAATCCGGGCTTAACATTGTGGAATTCTATGGAATTATCATGGAAATAGCGATTCAAACCACCAGAGAATCGTGGGCGAACTCAATTTATACTTTCCGATTCTAATTGAAAATAACGGATCAGATTCAGATGAGGTCCTCACAAACACTAAGATAAAAGATCGTTGAAATCAGCCAGTTAGACATCTCTCAAATTTTCCCATGAAATTCCAGGCACGAAAATGATTGGTTACTCCATTCACCCCCCATTAACCCACCATGTTCTGCTCGGTAAATCACCATGGAACCAAGCTCTGCCCTGGGAGGGTCTCACCTGGGCCACAGTCCCGCCACCTGGAGGCTCAAGACTCGCCGGGAGATCCCCCGGTTTTTTTCATGGGAAAAAAACATGGGGGCTATGAAAATTAGGAAATCGCATTGCTATTGTGTTGCACATGTTGTATATATATATATAGATAAACAAACAAATATGTATATGCATATATATATATATATAGAGGCATATGGATATGTTTTTAAAAAAACTTTACATGGAGAGAGAGAGAGAGAGATGTCGACGTGTTCAACGATCTCTGTCCATTGCGGGGTAAACAGTTGAGGCACCAGGGATGTCCAACTCAGAGGATCACTCAGCAGGTACGCCTCTTCTACCCTCTGGTAATGACTAACAGTTTGCGACATAGAAAATGGCCCCTAGAAATAGTTGATTTACCTATTAAAAATGGTGATTTTCCATAGCTACGTTGGTTTACCAGAGGGTAGGGGCCATTGAGAAACCACATTTTGGCCAAAACCACCAACAAATCTGCACTTCTGATCATGATTATCTGGTTTGCGCTCCCAACCCCCCTGAAAAGTATTTCTGGCTTTGGGGATTACATAAAAGGATACATCATTTGAAATTGGAAAATTAGCTGGAAACCACTAACCGGGTATTAAATATATAATATATCTGTTCACATCCCATCATTTCACATCTATTGGCCAATTGGACATCCATCTCCGGCAAAAGTTAGCCCACCAACAACGGGAAGAAAGTTCATGGCTTGTACACACCACAAGCGCACCAACAACGGGACGTGAAGGTTGTACGAACCCCCGTGTGTAAAATCAAACCTTCTGGAGGCTGTGTCAAATTAAAAACCCTACTGGTAAAATTGCTGCACATGATTTCCCAAACCGCCCCAATCTGTAAGGTATCTTCAGAATGTTTTTCTGTACCAGCCATCAAGTTTACTAATCCCCCGCCCAAGAACGGTAATTCATAGGATTTAATTCACCAAGCTTTGGTAGGATTTAACTATGTCCATCTTTCTGGTAGTACTACATGGTGAGCTCCTTTCATAAAACGCTCGCCTCCATTCTTGCCCCGGCTTGCCGATCTTGAGCCAATCGGCCAAAGGTTCGATTCATCCAGAAGACACCCCTTTGATCCATGGGGACAAACTCCCAACCCCCTACCCTACCATTCAGCAATATGACATAGCTACAGTATTGAGCATCACTCACTATGTGTGCAGGTAAATCATCTAGTTATACATCATCTATAAATCGGTCATTTTCCATGGCTATGTAAAATTACCAGAGGGTAGCGCCCCCAACCCCAATCAATATAAGTAGGACTTTCAATGTGAACAGATTCGCCACAAGTTCCGCTCTTTTGGTCAACTACGCTCCTGAAACATCCTGAAACCACACCAGAATCTTTGAATCCATGAAATTTACCATACCACACCCAGGATATTGCGTTTGGAACTCTACTTCATTCTACTTCTTTACGTTCAAGGGTTGTGGAAGATTGGGCCGGAAACCAGCCGACATATCCTTGGGACTGCTTCAAGTTGCAACCTAAAACCAGCCACACAAAGACACAAATAAAGGTGGGGCATGACAAACTACACCCAACTTTGGAGGAGAACATCCCAACAATGGATCAAGGCGCTTTGTCAGCCGCTATAGTTTGCAAAAATCCATGTTTCATCTGATGGGGTAACAAGCTGCACCCTACCTCCATTTTTGAGAGAAAATGAAACACTTTGCGTTGTCCATGAACGCAGTCTTTTCAACCCTGGAACCGTTCATCTTTTTGACTCATATGACCTATGTCTCACACTTTTTGAAAACTTGCTTTCAGCGGTTCACCCCAAACTTGTCATGGTTCTATTGTTACCATGTCCAACCCGTGAAAAAAAAACATGGTGTTTCCTGGTCAACATCTCCATTCCGACCAGGGCCTGCCTGGCTCGATCTTGTGCGGTGAATGATTTTGCTCTGAGGTAGTTACATGAACATTGGGCCGGGGCAGAAAATTATCTATGGCGATGTTCAGGGTATATGTAGCTTCTTCTACCTCCCCACGAATGCTGGAACGCAATAGTAGCGACAACTTCTAGGCTTAGAAATTCACAACCCACATTGAGTACCCCTTGAGATCTCATGCGTTAAAAGGAGGATGCAGGATTTCACAGAGCCGAGATCAGCCCAGCGGAACGAGTCGTCAGAGGTGGACATGGAAAACAACCATGGAGGTTCGCAACTGTCGTATCTGAATGTAGTAAACCAAGGTAAGCCCACGTGGTGACTGATAAACCCTTCTCTTGGGTAGTTTGTTGCCTGTTGCATACCTTCATATACCTACCAAGCAGTTGGGTTTGCCACGTTACAGCGAAGTAAGGGTGGTTTCAGCCAAGATGGAGAAAAAACAACAGTTCAGTTGGGGAGCATCATTCCAATTGGGATGTCTCCAAAACTCGGCATCCGAAAATTGAGAGGAAGGCCCTATGTTCTGCCATTTTTCAAAGTTTTCAACCGTAGATGTTCCCCTTGAACCAATCCGAAGCGCCCGGGGTGGCCCGGGTCTCCCCCACAGCTTTCGTTGAGCTTCTGGACCTCCTGCCGCAACTCCTCACCTGGGACACCGTGCCGCCCAGAGGTTTATCATGTCACCAGCTCTTTCGGGTTTGTTTAAGGGTTGTTTAGGGTTTTATCTACGGTTCATTTAGCGTTTTAATTTTGTAATGTTTAACCACGCTTTTAATGAGATTGAGATGTTATTTTGCGGCCCTTACTTAGGGTTTCATGTCAGATTAAGTTTTAGGGTTTTGGATTTAAGGTTTAGGGCCAGTTTAAGGTTCTGTGTTTTGGAAACAAATCTCGTCAGACACAGCGCAGTCAAAATGCACTTTCCCGGGCAGCACCCCCACCTTGGCCGTAACTATATCACTTGCAGTTATAATACTTAGCACACTCTATAAGTATAGTAATTACAACCTTATATATGCAAGTTATAATTCATAAGTTTTAATTTGTAATAAGATCGTTTGGGACACAATATGTGGGAAACCCAATAAAGCTACCATTTAAGGGGACTGTAGACATACGACCCATCAAAATGGTTGTATTGGAAATAGTTTATTGGGTTTACCACATTCACCAGGACAAGTGGAATCTAACTGAGATGAGCAGATAAGCCATAGGATATGCCAGTAAATTGTATTGTACCATCTGAGAATGAAACATGGATAGCTCGGAAACCCCATACTTGTTATCACCCGAAAGCTCCCATTTTCGACCATCCATCTCAAACACTCATGCATTGTTGAAAGCCTTTAACGCGCTTTGGACACACACCAGCATACTCCAATTTACAACCTGGGTTTGTCCGAAGACCCGCTTGAACCCCAAATGGAAATTGTCTGAGAATCATTAGTGATCATCAAGCGTAAGATTTTGAGGTACCCTCTGGTAATTTAACATGGCGAACTGGAAAATCACCATTTTTAATGGGGAAATCCACTATTTCGACTGGGCCATTTCCACAGAAGCCCACTTCAGCATCCCTGAGTATCCTGAGAAGATCCGTCAAACATGCGGCTTTGTCTAAAAATTGCCTCTGGAATGATTATTTCATCATTAAGCAGCCCCATGAACATTACAATTATGGGGGTGTATCCAACAATATATATATAAATGTATGATATAGATTTATATAGTATACTGTTATTATATAGTTATATCCCATTATATCCCCATAGAACGGATTGTTACTCCAAAACTGTAAATCACCAGAAAATCAAACCATGGAAGCACCCGCACAACAGTGTTGCAGCGGCCTGTTAGTGGGTTATTTTCAATACAAATCAAAACCAGCAACGACAATATTACATAATATTACAAGACACAAACATTTCCACAAATTCTCCATATTTATCCAAACAGTTTTTTTCAACATGTCCTGTTGATTTTTTAATTGAACCACTCATTATTGCCAACATAATAACACTACACATAAATTCACCATAAATAAATTCACCATAAAATCGCTATAGGATCGTTATAAATCCACAGCCTTTTATTGTTTGATCATTTCCAAACGGGAAGCAGGTCCATGGGATTTTCCAGAGGTTTCTTGGAAGAACCACCAGCTGCACAAGGCATTTTTTTCCGGCACTTTCTGGCCTGGTGAGCGGGTGACCGCGACGCCGCGGTGAGCAACATTGACCACCTTTAGACATCCTGCAAGATGATGAATAAAACATATCAAAAACAAATGATGATTGTGTATATAAATATATATATAGACATACATCTCTCTATATATAAAAAAACACTAATTTATACAATGACATATGTATCATGTGTATGTAAAATGCACACAACGAACTATAATAAATAATAATATAGATGTGCATATCGTTGGCTGTAGCAACATCTGTCAATGTCAAATAAGCACCGATCCATTGGGTTTCCATTGGAAGAAAACCAAGTCGTGAAGCACCGACGAAAATTGACAACAAATCCAAAATCACAGTGTTTGCTGATTCTCAAGGCTCTAGAAGATTTATAGAAGTGCGGAAACACATATACTAAGCCTCCGAATAGTCATGATTTTGTGGTACCTTTGAATTCGGTCGACATTTCCGAGAATCCACATCTGAGTCTCAAAATAGCACCAACAAAAACAACACCCAATTATGGACAATCGTCCAAATTGTTCTCTGACCTTGGAGTTCTTCGATTTCATGGCCCATGGGCTCTGTCTTGGCATGACCTGGTCCCAACATGTACTGTACTCCCCAAGGCAACGGGTGAAGTAACATGAAGATCATGAGGTAACCGCATCCCCACCAAATCTCCATAGGGATCCCCCATTTTTTCGCGTTGCGGGAACTCCTAAGCCTTGACCCGGCCCCAAGCCCCAAGGCTCCCGGAGGCTCCCGGCCCCAAGGGCGTTTTTCGACGTCTCACTCAGTCAGTGCTGGGCCCAGGTGCGTCACACGACGCGCCTGGGATAGTGTTGCTGTACTTGCCTTGCATCGATATGAAATAAACATGTGTATATTTTATACATACTGTATATATATATATAAATATATATATATATATATAAGTAAATTATATATGATTATATCATAATTGTTTATGTATATGTACAATGCGTGTATTAGTATGTGTTTGTATGCGATTGTACGCTATGTGATGGGACTGTATGTTGTGTGATTTCATGGGGCTGTATGTTGTGTGATTCCATGTGATTCTACGTGATTCTACATGTACAAGGTTCTTTCTGATTTAATGTTGTGTGATTATATTGTGATATATTGTGAATAGAGTATAGGCGACTACGTAAATGTCTGCGTGCGCGTGCAGTAATCTCGGTGTCTGTTTGTCCATGCATGAACGTCGTGCAAGTTGGATTATCATCATTGTCCCCATGGACATTGCTATTTTTGGGGGGCTTAGACGAGCCCATATACGTATATTGTTGGTTATATAAATCATGTTATATCATGCTGTATCTCAATATGTTCTTCATACCACGGTTAGTTCCTCCATGAAACCGTCATTAAATCACCATTGAGTCACCTTTATAGATCACCATTGACTCATCACTAGACCATCATGAAATTGTCACTAAACCACCCTCAAACCACCATCACGACCAGCATTACCATATCGAAGACTCAAGGCCCAGGTCCGGCCTCGTAGTACTCCTCATCTGACTCCAGGTCCTTTTTACAATTGTGGGAAACGGGGAAATATTGAGACTTAACAGCGAACATGGGAATCCAGACTAATTAATATACATCTAAAATCATCTAAAATCTAAAATCATCTAAATCTAAATATATGGGTTGGTTTTCATGAAACATTTGAGGGGAACCATGGTTTTTCCCATCAACAAGACTGGGATACGACTTTCAAATCTTTCTACATAATCAGAATAGCATTTAAAGCAACTAGCGAAGCCTTCTCGAAAGATTTTAGATATAACATCGTTTGAACAAGTGAAAAACATCATTTCTACAAATATTTCCTGGTTGCATTATGTTGTATTTATCTTTCACATATGCGGATTGATTGAAGGGCAAATCGAAACCGGACACCATTCTTGTTTCCATCAAAGAAACCAGGTTTTCCCATGTCTATGTTCCCAAAACCAATCCAATGACAATGCTGACGTTGGGGAACATGATGACAATGATCAGGGAAAGTTATAAAAGTAAATCAATGATTCTCCCAACATTATATGGTTATAGTATGTTGTAGTTATCTAATTGGTGGTTTCAACCCCTCTGAAACATATTAGTCAGTTTGGATAATCATCCCAAGTATTGGGGAAAATAAAATTCATGTTCCAAACCACCAACCAGTTATTATCCAACATATCCCAACATTGTATGGTTATTATCCCAGCTGATGCTGATGACCTATCCCAACATCCTAACCTCCCCCAGTGCCTCCTCTTCGGCCTCTTCGGCCTCTTCGGTCGCACGGTGTTCGGGCGCCTGGTGGTTCGGCACGGCTGTTTACGGCGGCCCTGGAAAGAACAAAATGGAATAGCCAAAAAAGAAGGGATAAGAGTGGCATAATCCGTCATTTATGATCATCAAGTTCGGGATCAGTTTGGGAGAACGACTCATTTGGGAGATGTTATTGGGAAATGAAATAGTTCAATCTATTTGGGAGCATCATGGATAACCATTGATAATATTACTGATAACTGATTACATCTATTCGAAGGGCTGGATGAGGGTTCTCGCTCGTTTGTGGTCTATCTCAGAGGAAGTGTCTGTCTCAGGGGTGTTGCTTGGATTTGTGGTCTGATGTGTTTGGCACCATATTTTCACTCCTGTAGCTGTTTTCCTTAGCTCATTCGGTGATTGTCTTTCCTCGACCTTTGACAATGGTGCGGCCTCCAGCCTTGACTCTTTTGCAGCTTCAGACCTATCTGATTGGCCTCTACCCCATCCTAGCTGATGAAGAACGTGCCTGGAAATAACTTGAGGAACCTTCTGATTTTCTGAGGACGATCAATCAACTCCTTTTTTGCTTTGATCATGTGGTCTCAGGTACCAGCTACACTATATACACTATATACACTACTCATTGTCTTTTCGATCGTTCTTTTGTCTCAAGTTAAGGTCGGAGAAAGAGGACTGCTGATGATCTTGGCCTGAAGGGACCCATGTGGGAAACTGCAGAGATCTTTGGAGGGGTTGGATCCCTTTCCAATGCCTCGGGGTTGGGCTACTGCTTCGACATCCGTCGCTCCAAATCGATGAATTGTCACACAGAGCAAGGGCTTAAGGAGTTGGGTACCAATTTGGTGATGACGAAACCAAATGGGCTATCAATGATTCAGCCTACTTGTGCAAGTTTCCTACGCTTTGTTTCCACTCACACCTCGAAAAGGACGAAGGACAGGGTTTGTCTCGAAAACATCCCGGCCCGAACATAAAGTTGCTAATAGTGTCGTTGATTAATTGGCTTGAGGGTAATAGGAATAGTACAAGTAACATTTTGATTGAAATTTCAACTTTGTAGCAGAGTGTAGGCAAACCTGTATGGCGATGAGTCTGTGGGCTTCGTTGCCACGGGGAATGCAACTGGAGAGGTGCTGGCTCTGGTAATCCTACCGCTGCTAGATTGGTTGTCAATCCCTTGGCTGCTGGAGAATCCAGCAACTTGGGCTTTGCAGCGTTCTGATGATGATTCTTTGTTCCTTCTTATTCTAATTTTAAATTCATCAGTTCTTGTTTTTACCCCATTCCCTTGACATGGGTAGCTATCGATGTGACTGAATATGTTCATGTCCTGCATTTTTGGCACACACACACACACGCACTAAGATGAACTCTTTGATCTTCGACTATCCGATTGGCTGCAATTTTCGAACATATCAGAGCAACCTCCATGGGCATGAGTCGCACTATCGTATGGCTTCGAACATTTGGGGCTGCATCATCAAAACCGTTAGAGCTGAGGGGAGCGTGGCCAGGGTTGGCTTATCTCATGGAGATCCGTAGGAGAGCGTGGCCAGATACGCGTACTCGGCGCACACGCGCGGTGATGGATAAAGGATCCAAGCATCTAGGCATTTTCGTAAACTATTTTGGTTAGTATTGAATCAATGACGGTCCCAGCAAACTATGTAGTGAATGTTTTGGGTCAAGGCTAAGGGTCGTTCTTTAGATTCCCACTCCGTATTCAATGTTTTGAGCCTATCCTATCATAAATCATGTTTATGTTCCCAGGAAATGTTTGGACCAAACTATTTATTGATCAAAATGAGATTGTCTAGTAGGTTTTGGGCGTGGCATTTCTTGCCTAATTAATGGAACAACTTTCGATCTGAACCTTCACTATTACTACCCTTGAGAACTGGCAATTCATTGAATATTTGCCAATCCGTAGGCACTATTGTTTGGTTGGGGAATAGAGCAGTCTATGGGGATCATCCCAAACAAGAACAAGAACTGATTGGTCAATACTCTTGATTCTGTGCCAAAATTAGACCCCAAAAGGCAACCCATAGTCAACAAATAGATTTTTATATTCTGCAGTATGCCAACCAATGCAATTGTCTTGAAATTTCAGAAATATCCAGAACAGCTGGTTTGCTGCCTTGGGCAAATTGAGGTGGGTGACTGGCAACAAGAATCGCCTTGCCAATTCATCGGCATATCCCAAAGCTTTTGGCCAAGCAATATGGAAAGCACACCAAACTTATGTGGAGCCTAGTCAGCATCCCCTTGTTTCTAAGCTTGATGTATCATGAATTGCTGCCCAGGATCCATTGGCATTTAATTAGTGTCAGCACCTTTATATTTCAGGGAGTGCTCACCTACAAAGATGTGCAGTGTCAAAACAAAATGGTTTCAACATTACCATCTTGAACAATGCTGGGAAACAAAATGCTGACAATCACCACGCTGGGGAGTGAGCAACAATTAACATTCTCATGCGTTTGCCTGCCAAAAGGGTAGGAAGTGAGAAGCTCTTTAGGGAAGGACAGGGGCTGTGTGAAACTAAAGGAATTGTGAAGATAATAAGATAATTCATCGCTGGTGTTGCTGCCGCATCTCAGGCCTATGGGCTAAATCCAGCGGTTACACCTGAAGCTATGAATGATCTCCATGCTTTTGCTGACCAACTGGTGAGAGATTTACCACCAGAGGGCGAAGTTGTCTTGCCGGACTGGAAACCGGTGTGGTTTGCGCTAAACATGTTCATCTGTTTTGGCCCATTTTGTAGGAGGAGAAAATATGAGACCAGGGAGGTATTGAAGGGTTATGCGCAACAAAGCGGGTTAGCTTCGTTTTTTCCTGTCTTTGTTTGCTACCAATCAGGAGGGCGCTGAGCTCTTGGGCCCATATGAAGCTGATCCTGGATGGGACGTTGATGTGCCTACTGCTGACGCTGATTCTGAAGGTCCTCGGGCAGAGGCCTGGTTTCACCACCACCGTTACTAAGATGAAAATGAAGAGTCAAATGCCAACAGATACTTAGCCCATGAATCGTGGTGAGATTATTTAATAACTAATCTAGTAAATAATTCAAGATCAAAACATGGGTTCCAATTTGACACATGGAGAAACGCAATGTCAATTTAATCACCTCAGCTGTATATACCCTACATGTCTATATATGGTATTTAATCATCATTCGATGCATCATTAGGGTTCAAAAATGTGGTACTTCTTTGTACTTCTGAAGCCCTTATACTAGTGACAAGATATGGTACTCTGTTAGGGGAAGAGCACGTTTCAGGGGGTAAAGAATTTGAGTGAATCATACATTCCATTTCAGTATATCAAATGCATGTGGCTATTTGTGCTTAAACCTGAAGAGACAAAGAGTGCCATGGCATAAACAATAACATGTTGTGGCTATCCCTTGTTGGTTTGGAAAAAATCAAACATAATAAATAATCAGAAGTTAAAGGTCAGATCAATTCCTTCGGCAGGAAGCAGCTGGGTCTACATCCTCTACACCAAGTACCACGGCTTCGTCGTCTTCTTCGTCTACTGCTGCTGGTCCCGTTCACCGATTTGTGCAACGGTTTTTCGGCCAGGCAGGGTTTGGTATTGCTGTTGTTTTCTGGAATCTACCTCAGCTGGCTAGTTGCCAAATATATTCTAACCAATGGTGACTTTGAAGTGTTCTCAGAAAATCATCGCAAAGATTAATGATTCAAGTTCTACTACAGTGCTGCAACCCAAGAGAGCTCAATATCATCAGTTGTGATTGATGTTTTCAGAAGATTCTGAAGTTGTGTCTAGTCAATCAAAGGAAATGACAAGTGATAATGTTTTTTAGATCTCCCATATTTGTTTGCGAAATGTCTTCCATTAGGTGAAGCGTTCTATCGACGAGGTGGACGCGGACACCTGGATTGAAGACCCATAGACAAGGAGACTAGCACTGAACGACTAAGGAAAGTTTAGATGTAACTGCAGTGTAGCTGCGAAATAATTGAAAGAAGTGACCAGCACCAATGTCTCTAATCACTAGCTGCCAAGGGTTTGCGTTTTGTCCTTTGATTATGTTTGGATTTGACTTCTCTGTGAAGGAGGCAGCAGCTATGAAAGCATCCCAAACATGATAACCATTCAATTTCAATTTTCCATTGGGGGTAAGTTTCGCTGCACCCACAAAAAATAAAGATGACATTGGCTTTGGCCCTGCACTTGTCTGGTCAGGAGATTTGGGGTGCTCAAAGGCTGGCATACATCGGCGTGTGCACAGGAGGAAGCTTGGATAACACCAAGTAGCTGGGAAGTGGGGGAAGGAGTAACTAGTAACACCTAATCTAACCGAAGACAAATCCAGGGATGATAAATAAGTAAAGAACCAATAAAGGATGCCTGTCTAATGTATTAGGCCAGCAATAGTCATCAACCAAAGACGCATGATTCATGTTTTCACCCAAACCCCTTTTCATGCGCTTATTGGCCAATGATCCCAGGAGCTGCTATTATCCTTGATGTGGGCCCACCCAAGCACCTGCTGTGTTGTGTGCCTTGGCAAACCAATCAATGAAATACACTGAAAGTGTGCAGTAGACAACAAGCCAAGAAATCATAGTACCCTACTATTTGCCAGGTTATTCTGTAATCTTGAAATTTGAAAATGGTTACCTCAATTTCAAAGGTTCCACTTGGAGGTCCCATTAGCTGAGTAAAACCATTGTCATTGTTACAATCCCCAAGACTTGGAATATCACGATTGCTAGAGTTCTGTTGAAATACCCCATTGTACCTGGAAAGCACCCAAACAGTTATGTTTCCAAGATTATGTTTCCTGTGAATCATCCTCAGCGATTAGATAGGTTCGATCGGGATATATTCCCAAACATGCACATACTTACTTTAATCTCGGTGCAAGATTTTGGAAGCTTGAGAAAGGGAAAAACCTTTTATACTAAGCCCTCGAAGTTTTGCCCAGTATGTCTGACCCGTCTACTGCATTTCCAATGGGACCCTTCAATGAAATTAACAACTTAACCCTTATGGCCACTTAAGGCGACACAGTGGCTGTGCGAGCTGAGCAGTCTTAGAGTTGACTGGTTAGCTGGCCTTCTTTTTCTGGATCTTGGGAGAGAGGGAGGTGTTTCGAATCAAAAAGACCTGAAAAATTGTTTGGATGTTCTTGGTTCGCTGTTTGATGACCTCCCTTGAAGCTTTTCGAAGTGATGGCTACTGTCAATGCCCTGAATTTCCGATGCCCCCCCATGTAAGAAGGTTGGATTGTGCCTTTTTAAAATCATCGTTTTTATTTGGAAAATTTCTACTTTTCTGATAGGGCCATTAAATTTGGAATTGGGATAATTTTCATCTAGTGAACAGCGAAGGGCGCTTGATTTTGAAGCCATCCTCTGACCTAGAGGTATGCATCGGGTAGATTATGGGATGGTGTATCATAGGATGTATGCTGCCACATAGAGCCCAACTGAGGCTTTGACACTGCAAGTGCTAATCTGCGACAAGCAAAATGGGTAAATTGGTCATTTGTTTTCCAATATCTGTGAACTATGTGAAGGAAGTTTTTGTTACATCGTTGGAGGAACATATTTTTGTTTTTTTGAGGGAAGCAAACAGTCAATCAACACCTATACATTACATGTTACATTTTTAGTTGCTTGTTCGTTGGACCTTTCCTTGCCACTTGGACTGAAAAAAGAACAACTTGACTGGATCAGGTGATAAAACGGCTCAATTTCATAGAAAAAGATACCATGGCCTCCTCTAAGTATGATCGCTTCCTGCAATGGCCAGTGGGAAAGGATGTTAAAACGCTGGCTGACCTTTACATCGCACCATACTGGATAGAAGCACAGGACCTTGACTGCCCTTCGCCCGAGGGCTCTCTCTTGGAGTCATGTCTTCAGGGACAGGCAGCTGGCTGGGTCAATCACTTCGAGGCTCACTATTACAATTTGCAGGATGTAGAGACAAACAAATCCCATGTTGTTGCCCTGGTGTTCTCAGTGAACGAACAGGAAAACCAAGTGTTTGTTTTCTTGAAGTCAGTTTCTTCACCGTGAAAAAACGGTGATTCAATTTAAAATCGATGCAGCATTCATCACAAGGGCCGAAAACAAAGCTGCCAATGCACCTAGAAATTACTAACTATTGTTGCTAATGATTGCAAGATGCTGTTTCCTGAAAAGCACACGCTCATATTATTGAATTGAACATGTTCAAATGCGGTTCAGAGTTGCATTGCTGCTGACAGATGATCTAGCTGTCAATTTGTTTACTTAACTGGTAACTGATCGCTGCTCCTTCAAAGATCGGTGAGCATTGTTCTGAAATAGTTACGCATATATTTTGTAGGCTCAGAGGAACGATTTTGGGACCTTTTTAGGTCCTGGTCCTTTACAAACAGTAGAGGACATCGGAATTTCCACATGGCTGGGAAGCGAAAACCCCCAACAGGTTTGGGTGAAAAAAATAAGGGTCCTAAAGGGGCCGCAGCCTCTACGACTGCGTCCTCAGCAGCCACTATGGAAACCATGCTCGACGAGTCTATGAGAGGTATGAAGGCCAGGCAACATTATATATATATATATTCAAATTTGTATATGTATATTGTATTTATTTGTTTATATTATTTTGCATATACATACAGTATTGTATATGATATATGGCAGAGTGTCAAGTAGGGATTATAAATCTATTAGGGATTAAGCAGCCACCACCCAGGAAGAATGGTTTAGCAATACTAAACTGGGCTGACCCCCCATGATTATTCAATTGGGGGAGGGGGAGTCGCCCGATGTGTGGTCCACCACAGGAAATCCCAATTGTTGGATATATAGTCAAAACTAAGTTTTGTAAAAGTAGCCATGGTGACTGTAGTTGTTGTATCTCATGGACGCTGATAAACCCTTGCTGTCCCCAACTCTTCCCCCCATGCTGCTCATTGCTTTTTTTCACTGCACATAGCTGCTGGCTGGCTCTAACCCCAGAGGCTCACCCAAACGGTTCTGTTGGCCCAACACAAACCACAATCATTCGAGTTGAGTGATTACTTTCTTGCTGCGTTGGCACCAGCCTTTCTGCGACTTTTCATTCACAGACTTGTGACTTCACAGGCTCAGTCTTGCAATCTTGGTTCCAATCAAATTCTTGGCTACTTGGCTACACTGCAAAAAGGCTTTCCCACATGATCGATATCTTATTATTAAATCGTTTTAAACTATTTTTAAAAGCATGACTTTGAGAAGCTCTCAAAGGCTACCCCCATGAGCCCATGCCCCCACCAAATCATAGGCAAGGTTCTCACCTAAATAAACACCCTTGATTCCTTTAGAGTTCTTCTAAGCTTAAAAGGAAAACCAACTGAAAGTAAATTGATATCAAGTGAAATCTTTACCTTTCCTCAGATTTCCTTCTAGGTTTAAAAGGAAAAACAAGCCGAAATCCTTACTTGGAAATCTTGAGATTTCTTCTAGGATTAAAAAGGAAATCAGTTGAAAGTAGATTGATATCAATTGGATCCTTCAAGAACCTGTTGATTTCTTCTAGGTTTTAAGGGAAAATCCATTAAAAGCAGATTGGCATGAATCGAAATCTTCAGATTTCTTCTAGGCATAAAAGGAAAATCAACTGATAGCAATTGAAATCCTTACAAACATTCAGATTTCTTGTAACCCTACAAGGGAAATCAATTGAATTCAGATTGATATCAATTTGAATCTTTGCCTTTCCTCAAGTTTCTAGGTTTCAAAGGAAAAGCAAATTGAACTCCTTGCTTACAAATCCTTAAATTTCTTCTAGGTTTTTATGAAAAATCACGTGAAAGTAGACTGATATCAATTGAAATCCTTCAAGAATCTTCAGATTGTTTTCTAGGTTTAAAAAGCAGACTGATATGAATTTAAATCTTCAGATTTCTTCTAGGATTAAAAGGCAAATCAGTTGAAAGCAGATAGATTTCAATTCGAAAATGGTCTCTTATGACTGCAACTTACGAGGTCGAGTATTTAGGTGTTCAACCTTAGCAGAACCTTCTCCCTAGGTACCTGCCTTCCTGATTGGGGGGGGTTAATAATCTTAACTTAGCATGGTTTGACATGTAGACATTTAGATATATAAAGATGTATGGCATTTGAACATACATGATACATGTAAGATAACTAAAAGATATGAGTAAGATATATATCTGTAAAAATATGTATATGATATATGTAAGGTGGGTATATAAAAATGAAATATCTAAGATGTAAATGGTATATGTTGGATATTTATATGTGATATTTGTAGTATTTTGACTGACATACAAAATGAAATAAGTAAAAATCAAAGTGATCATTTATGTGTATGTCATGTTCTATTTATATTATATACATATATACATGTTTGAAACCTAGTGATACAGATGTGTTTATATGCAATACTACACTATATTAATAAAAGTCTTACGCGCATATTGATACAATTCTGTATATATATATATGATATTTAAATAGGACATGCATATATATATATTCTATTGGGTATGGGTCAAAATTAAAGGCCTGGGGGGACCACAGATTTAAGTCTATGTTTAATAATGTTAGCAATCCAAAAATTGGGGTACCTAATTTTGGCCCATGCCCATTTATGTAGGAGCGAAAAAATATGGATCTATCTAAATTATAGACTGGAAATCTAGACATTTAGAAGTCCATTTCAAGCTCAGACAGGGGTATCAAATTTAACCAAAACGAGTTTACCAACCAACGTTTAGTCCCACCCTTCTGACATGCCCAGAGGGTCTTCACTCCTTCTTGTTGCCTACAGGTGGACATGGCCAACAAAATCTTGCAGGATAACGACCCAGAGGTGACCAAGCGAGAGAAGAAGAAAGACAAGAAGAAGAAGAAGAAGTCTAGTTCTTCTAGTTCAGAGTCCTCAGACGAGTGTGCACAGATAGGCCTTGAGGAACTGCAGCTACAGTGTGGTCTGAAACCTAAACACTTGGGTTTGCGTGATCTGGTTCGCATAGATGACCTCAAGCCAGAAGCTCGGTTCCTCGTTCTAAAGCTAGTAGATAGCAGGGAGCAAAGCTTTAATCCTTACGCAAGCCTATTGATGATTAGTCATTATAGCCCTACTTATTATCATCCTTGTTGTTTCAATCTAGATGCAAATACCTCCATATACCCCCCATCAGTGCCTCATTTGGAATACTAATGCAGGTGAATGGTTCAATCACAGAAGGGGTCCAAGGAGTTTTTAATGTAATGCATATATCTTGCTTAACTCACTTCTCTACTGTAAGTCGTGTTTGGACTAGATAGGGCGGGTTGGCTGTTGTATCTTGGTTGGTCTTTTGGAAGCATAGAAGAACCTAAAATCATTGTTGTGATGACCCAAAATAGAGCCGTGAATGCATGCTCATGTACTTTGCCACCGAAGAATATTTTCAGCAGAGTTTTGAAACAAAGTATCAAGAAATCAATTTAACGTCACGTAACAAGTCTCAAAAAGTATGGCTTAGATATGATTATATGTTGTGGCTCAAACTGCTACTGCTCAAACAATGAAGATACCCCCCAAAAAAGTGTCTGGTTTAGTTGTAGTCGTGGCTGACAATTGCGGGCCCTTTTTTTCTTTTCATAGGCCCCTACTTCGGTCATTGATCCATTTTATCTAAACGCGCTCAGGAGCAGATCGTCTACATCATCGCACACCCAAGTGCCTCAGCTCCCTTTATGACGGTGATGGACCTCTTCGAAATCGGAGGTGAACTCACGGGACTCAGACGCAAGGAGACACAGAAAACCAAGAAGGGTGAGGGTGAGGCATCCAAAGCGAAAGAGCTTGCGCAGCAGATTGAACGTGCTACAGAGAGCAAATGGAAAGGACGACTGATCAAGCTGTTGAAGCTACTTTCCTTTCGATATTAAATAAACTGCAAGCTTCATTTTTTTTATTCAGAGTTGATAAGGTCAGTCAAGATTTCGAGGCTTCCTGTTTCTGCACGATCTGATTCTAGCGACTAACATTTGGACCAAAACATGTTGAGGTTTGCAGGTAAAGACACAAACCTGTGTGAATGTCTCAGTATACTTGACTAGATTGCACATTCGAACTAAGGCTTCTTGCGGACAAGAACGGCAAAAGTACCATGTGCAATTTTGAGAACCTCCAGTCTCTTCGCACCTCAATAGTGACGAAGATACAGAGTCGTATCAAACAGAACCCAGACTTGGCTGAACTTGCCAGACAGAAAGTGCAGGACTTGAAAGATGAAGCAACCCAAGAGCTAGAACAATGGAATGTCAAGCTTCAAAAGAAAAAACACCGGTCTATGAAGCAAATGTTTGGAATTCCTGAGATCACCCGAGATGAAACAGGGAAAAGGAAAAAGGAAGAGGAATCCTCGGAAGAGGAAAGTGAAAAGAAACCGAAGAAGGCCATGCCATCCAAACCTCGAAAGAAGTCGGCCCCCAAGAGCTCTTACTCTTCTTCTGGTTCGGAACATGAGGATGAGAGAGATAATGACAATCAAGACAGTGGGGCTGAGGAAAAAGAGTCACAACAGGAAAGCAGCAAAGGAAAAGGTGAAACACAGAAAGCAGAAACTGATGAGGACCTGTTCCAGACACCCCGGTTTAGGAAACCCAGTGATGCAGCCCCGACGCCCGAAGAGAACGTTTCCGATGACCTTCAAGAGATGTTGACACAGCCCATGGAGGAGCAGTTCAAAAACACCTCGGAATTTCAGTTCATATTCATTCAAAAATTCGTTTGAAGTCAATTCTGTCATGGGACCACCTACTTGTTGCGATATATGAGTTGTCATGGGTTGTTATGATGTTTCTGTCCTGAATGTGTAAAGTAACAGGGTTATCACTGTGCTATCTTAGGACCAAAAGCTGTTCCTCAAGATCCTCGTTGCCATGGACCTGAAGAACCCCACGGGATTCTTGTGTTGCCTTGGGGATTTTCGAAAGGTGCAGACAGAGCCACTGGAAAAGGTGAATTGCAAGTTGCTTTTGAACCGAACCCCCCAAAGCTCAGCTTTGTTCAAGCAGCTTACCTTTCATGGGAAGATGGCTTCAGTGGCAATCATTAAGGATGTCCTGCTGCACTTGGACAAGGGTTTTAAAAGTTTCGACGTGGTTTTGAATGCGTTCTTAATCATGTTCCCATGGGACAATCTTGCCTTCCTTGCATCTCAAATTTCCACCAAACTGGTGTTATGTTTCAAGAACAGTGGCCAAAATCCCCTGTATCCTCATCCCCTTGTTTTGGTAAATTGTAAATAAGGATTCCCATGTTAGACTATGATAATTCCTGGAAACTAATCAAAACCATAATGGTTCCATGAAAGTAGTATTCGATTGTTCCCCACCTGCCAGGTGAGGGTTGTTAGATTTTATCGCAGTTGTTCCCCTTCTCCTCGTCCTCCTCGTCCTCCTCGTCCTCCTCCTTCTCCTCCTCGTCCTCCTCCTTCTCCTCCACCACCTCTGCCTCCACTTCCACGTCCACTTCCGCCTTGCCAACTCTTCGCCAATCTCTTCGCCAACTTCCGCGCGCAGTGGGCACTGCTGGACCTCAACTGCCGGCTTCCGATCTGAGTGGGCACGGCTGGACCTCAACCGCAGGGTTCTGAGCACAGTGGGCACCGCTGGACCTCAACCAGGGACCTTCCGAGCCCAGTGGGCACGGCTGGACCTCAACCTGGGACCTTGGGCACCGCTGGACCTCAGCGGCCAGATGGAATGCCAGAATATATGCCAGAAAGACTGCCAGAATATAGGCCAGATAGACTGACAGAATGTATGCCGCATAGAATGCCAAAATATATGCGAGAAGGAATGCCACATAGAATGCCAGAATATATGCCAGATAGAACGCCAAAATATGTACCAGATAAAATGCTGGAAGATATGCCAGCTAGAATATCAGAATAGATGTCAGATAGAATGTTAGGTAAAATGTCAAAATATATGTCAGAATATATGACTTGAAATGCCAGGGTGGGGATCACTCGAAGTATTTTTTTTTCACCGGGCAATATCCTTAATACTGTTTATGATGCAGTAGGTAATTGGCCATATTGGTTCATTTCTTCCTACTTACCCCCCTGTACAGGACGACTACGCAGATATCTCCGACGTATCACGTGAACTTGTGTTTGGTGATGGCACGGAAGAAATAGCCAGTGATGTGAATGAACCCCAGGAAAATCATGCTGAGACCCCCACAGCACCAGCCGAAGAAGGGTTGAATGTGGAAATGTTGCCAGGGGCGCATGGTGCTGACTAGGATGTTTCGAGCAGCCATTGCGTTTTGTGGGCCTGTAGGGTACCTTTGGCCAAAAGTAGCAAGTGTGTGCATCTTGCACAACCCCGAAAAAGCCGGGGACCGCAGAGCATGACATCGCGACGCGCGACGAAGGGAAAGTAACGTGCACACTGCTTCCCAACGTGCTCGCTCAGGTTTTACGTGCTGGCTGGGGCCAACGGTTTTGCTGGAATCCCTCAATGGTTTCACCACAAAAAAAAAAACAGAAATCGTTGAGATGGGTACGTACCATTGAGAAGGGCACCAGCTATGTTTTCGTGGTATTTACATAGAACGGTGTCAAGTGCTCTTCCCCGGGCCATGTATCCATCTCAAGGATTTGTGTTTTTTTTTTGGTTTGGGGTGGCTTCACGTTGAAATGTTTGGGAAGGAACAAAATCTTGGGAAGGAACCCAAACTTGGGAATCCACCACCAGGTAGGTTTCCATTTAAAGTTTCCCCAGAATCCAAAATCCATGGGTCGGGCAGGCAGTGCGCGACGCGCGACGAAGGACTACTCAGGGATCTGGCCCAGGAGTTAGATTCCCAAATGTCTTTGGTTAATTTCTCAAAAAAACAGAACATTTCTGCAATCACAGCTAGGTGAAAAGAACCTTCGGGACAAACAAAAACATAGTGAGCAACCAAATAATCACAAGCACTCTTCATGATGATGACAATGATGATGATAATGACATGTAATGTTGCGCAGATTCTTCAATGCAAGTACTTCGGGCCATTGACTTTTTCTGTCATGGCTGCAGCCCCTAGCAATGGTCCTGCTGGAGAGAGTGGGAATCCTGTGGTCCCATTTCTTGTGGGTTCTCAGGATGAGGACAGGGTCAACCAACTATCCCGAAACTATAATATATAAACATCTATGCAGTACTCCTGTCACAAACACGGGAAAAGCAACCAGTTTAGCAATACATATATTTTAACATTTTGGACCTATCAAATACGATTAATAACACATCCACCAACCCCCTGCCAGGAACAGAGAGTGCTCATCGAGCAGCTTATGAAGTTGCTTCGGAAACATGCCAGCGATGAAAAGAAGTTTGGGGAATACGTGACCGCCTTGGACTTGGCAGTTGAGAGAAAAAAACCATTGAGTTCGTTGAGCAACCAAGTGATGGAAAAGTCTCTTCTGTCAAAGTGTGTTGCAGAGATTCGGCAGTCATGTGCCTTTCCCATTCGACCCGAAGGGATTGTACGTAGTAGCAAAACAACCTTTCAAGAGAACCTCGTCAAGTGGACTTCTTGTGAAGAAAGGCAACCTCATGTCGTGGATTTTGTCCTTCTGTATATGCGGGGGAAGCATGGGGTCTTCACAATGGCCAAGGTGTGCTATACTGGGAAAAAGGGACGGGATCACAGAAAACATTGACATTCCAATGTTATACTTTGGTCACCTCACCCGGCTTTGTATCAGTAGCACGTGCCCCAGAATCCAAAATCCAATTTAGATTTATGTGGGTTTGTTAATATTGTTTGATTCATGTTGGTTTTAATCTTTTATTCGGTTAGCCCTGGGGCTCTAGAACACCAATTGCTATTATTTCAGACAGTACGCGAGGGTTTGCCACCAAAACTGGTTTGATTTGGATTTGTTTGTTTTTCAAGACACGTTTGGTTTGTTTTCTCAGCCAATCCTTTCCCTGTAAGATCAATCCTTGCGGTCGTTTTCGCAATGATGGGTACGAGTTCATGTGGGTGATCAACGATGTCTGGTCCCGACTGGCTATGAACATTGCCTGGCCCCGATGGCATGGCAAGAACCTCTCTGTACTTGGTGAACTCGGTGCCAGGTGGGAAATCGCTGAGACCCACATTGTTCGGAGCTCTGCCTACAAGGGGGAAAACCAAGTAGCTTGCCTTCCAGGTTTTCGCTATGATGCTCTCACGACCCTTGGCCTCTTCCAGACGCTTGGGGCTTTAGCTCAAGTTCGGGGCCTAGCAGGAACCACCCAGTTGAAGATTGTGGGGCTACTTCGTGAGGTTTTGGAGTACAGCATCTGGCCCAACGGCTTGAGCTTGCTTCCTGAAACCATACTTACAGTTGAAGATTGCCAAGCATCCATGAAGGAATGGCTGCTGACCCTGCCCCGAAGTGAGAAAGCAGCTATCAAGACAAGGTCGGGTGGGAGTAGTAAAGAGATAGAAATATTGTGACAAGTTATTATAGTAGGCGCGGGTGACAGGTGACCTTGCGGTCGATTTAGGCTAGTTTTTTTTGCACACATGACATATGAATTATGTATCAAGTTAGCTATGTTTTTTACTACACATGACATGGAGTTATCCGCTTGCCCAACGGGCAGGAATTTTCTCTCTTTTTTTGATAAATGACGTTGGAAATTTAGAGATGAGAAGAATCTTGAGATTTCCAGGAAAAGCATATGAAGACCTTTTGTCATCCACGTCGAACGGTGCTTTGAATTTGTTCTCAAGAGTGGGGTGGGTAGGGTTTGGGAAGGCTCAAAATGAAGCATCGGGAGGAGTTTGGGCTGCCCATGCAGGGGTGGGAAGGGTTTAGGAAGGGTCAAAACGAACCATGCAAAGGGGTTTGGGCTTTTCAGGGTTCCCAAGAGGGGGATGGGAAAGGTTCGGGAAGGCTCAAAATGAAGCATGGGGAGGGGTTTGGGCAGCCCATGCGTTTCAAGAACGGGAAGGGTTTTGGAAGGGTCAAACTTTCAAAACGAACTATGAAAAGTTGTTTTTGTTTTTCATGGTTCCCTAGACTGGAGTGAAAATGAAGCATGGGGAGGGGTTTGGCTGCCCATGCGTCCCAAGAAAGTGGTGGGAAGGGTTCAGGAAGGGTCAAAACTTTTAAAACGACTCGGGATTGGGTTTCCTGGTTCGCAAGAATGGGAAAGATTTGGGACGGCTCAGGGGAGGAGTTTGGGCTGCCCATAGGTTCCACGAAAGGGATGGGAAGGGTTTTGCAAGAGTCAAAAAACAAAACATAAAAAGGGTGTTGTGTTTTTATTATTGGTTCCCAAGACTAGGGTGGTAAGGGTTTGGGAGGGCTCAAAATGAAGCATGGGGACGGGTTTGGGTTGCCCATGCGTCCCAAGAAAGTGGTGGGAAGGGTTTAGGATGGGTCAAAATTTTCAAAATGAAGCATGAAAAGGGGTTTTGGTTTTTCATGGTTCCCAAGAGAAAGAGTGGGGTGGAAAGGGTTTGGAGCACCTCAACAACAACTTTTTGTTGTTGAGGTTGTGCCGGGAAGAGGAATTTACCACATGAGATTGGACTTCCTAGGTGGGAACTGCCAGGTGCCGAGGAAGGCTCACAATGAAGCATGGGGAGGGGGTTGGGCTGCCACCCTTTCTGAACCGGGATCATATACAACCATATAGGCACATCTCGTATCTTTGTCCATGTGGGAAGTGAAATCTACGGTGCGTGTGTGTGTGTGTGAGTTAGTTCACATGACATGTTTTGCATCTGTGGGAGCCCAAAAAACTGCAGAGGTCCTATGTCATTGGAGAGGTCCTATGTCATGTAATATTTTTCACTGCACTTTACAAATGACACCAAGAGTTGGCGTGTTTTAAAATATGTCCGGCTACTTCCATGACATCTGCAGGTACTATACTTACCCTAAACAACCTTAAATATGTTCCCAGTAAAGTTTTTGACTATTTACCCAAGCCAATGTTGTAAAGGGAATTTTGAGGTTTGACATAGCAAATCAAATATCATGTTTGTCAGTTTGTCACTCGTGCTGGTAGGTGGGAAAACACAGCATCCCTTGGGAGCGGGAGACACAATGTGATGAGTAGCTGCCACATTGGCGACATTCTATTCTTTTGGATGCGGCAGCCCCATGACTCTCTTCAAAGTGTTGACATCAAGCGCGTTCAAAAGCGATTGATTCATCTTTGCGCACAAGCAGTTGAGATGGCCTTCCACGCGGACAAGTTTCCATTGTCAACTCAGCCACCCACAGTGCTTGAAAATGACACTTGTGCTGACCAAAGCAACTGGACAGCTTCCAAAACCAGGAATCAAGCAGCAGAGGAATTGCGTGCTGAGTTGCTGCGCAGATTTATGGCAAGCAAGTCGGGGTTTGTGGCAGGCATCAAGCATTCGAGCAACCAGAACATTGCAGGCATTGGGGGTAGTGGCATGTCAGACAATGCTTCAGCCATGCAGGCAGCAGCACAGATGTGCACAGCCTACTTCCTCAAAGCCTCATCGGCTTTGATGGACAAATTTGTGACCCAGCCCTACAAACATCTGAGTTGTTACTACGATGCTGCTGCAGTGTGCAATTTCAGCATTATGGAGCTTCATCTCAGTTGTGATGGTTTAGTCGTGTCGGCTCCATTCGCCCTACTTCCCCAGTTGAAGCAGCCGTTTGAGAAAACATCCAAGGAATGCCTACAAGCCATTCAAGATGTTGATCTTCCAGCCCCCCTCCATGAGATTTCCAAGAAAGATGAAGCAGCCAAAAAATTGCAAGTATGTCCAAAGGAAAAAGCTTCATCGAGAATCAAGATACTAGCGTTGAACCAATCGTTGCAGTATCTGTTGAACCTGAAGTTATCGGACATGGAGCCCCACATCAAGCTACGACCCCCAAAAGATCAAGAAAAGCGGTGTTACCATGTGGATCAGCAGGGCATCCCCAGGGCTTACTTGTGGAACCAAATCACCAAACAATCCGTTTGGCAAAGTTCTGATTCAATTGGAATCGACCAGGTTCTTCGTTTGAGCTGCCTTTGCGATGAGGGTGAAACTGCAGGCGCAATGTCATTGATGGGGAACGGGTTGGCTATCATGGCCCATCGGGATTCCCAGCACAAGTGGTACAATGAATTGAAAATGGCAGCATCGGAGAATCCCATCATCAATGAGGCTATCAGTGCAACCATGCTGGTCTTGAATTTCGAAAATGGTCCTTGGCACAGCGGTCTTTTTGGGAGAAAGGTTCGTGACATCCACACCCATATTGCTGACCTGCCAATTCCCAATGTCCTTCTGGATATTTGCATGCCTGGCATCATTTCCGATTTAGACCTTCCACGTGACACTTCGCAGGAAACCATCAAGGGCATCCTCGTTGAGTATGCTGAGTCCAATGGGAAAAGCCTTCACGCAGCTCTGGGAGGTGACCACAAGCTTGGCCGGTGGGGCGAATTTGTTGATTCCTTTCACAGGCTGAAACGCGTGTGGCACATTCGCTTGTTTGTGCTCCTACTTGGGTGTGCTTTGGAGGGGACAAGTCCATGGGCAGCCATTGCAGGTGCTTTTGAGGATGATCCAACAGAAACCCTTCCGAAAGTGCTGCGTGTTTCTAGGTTGAAAAGAGCAGCAAAGACCGTAGATCTGCAAATATATGTACATACACGCATAGTTCATTTACATACTTACCTGAAATAAAGAGATAAAAACTTTTGTGTCTATATATATATATGTATGTGTATATATATATATATGCATGTGTGTGTGCGTAAATGTGCAGATACATGCATACACAAACAACTTCACATGTACATACGTCGCATTTGCATACACATGCACACAATAAGACACATATGTCCATGTCCATGATAGGGAAGCTGACACATACACGCATAAGTACACATATGCAGACATTCACATAAAAGTGTGTATGCACATAATGGATACATTCAGACGATGCCATCATGCTGGCACATAGGCATTGTTGTTCTTATTTACCGTTGCCTTAACATTTGCTTCGTGCAACTACATGCACGAACTACTTATTCAATCCAGTACCAACTATTTACACCTATAGGCAATCATTCACTAAAATAACTGCAAATTCATTGGCGTGTTTAAAATATTTTAAAATTTGAGACCACTGCCATGTATTTACAAACAGTCACACATACATGTTCTGGCGATGCTACACATACACCCTTGTGTCTTCAGTATGTTTTACACACTATTTGGTGTAGATCTATGATCTATCTATGCCCTGTACTCACAGTGTTGGAGTTTGATCCCGACACTGATCATGAGCAGACAATGTCAAGGGGGTTCAAGTTAGGAAAATGTTGGGGTGCCCTGTTTGACTTCTCCCAGGTTTTGGCAAACCCAACGTCCTTGGCCAGTGCGAAGAGTGCCTACTACTGCCTGCAACCTTTGAGGGACTTTCAAGCAATGGAGGTCTGGGATGGGGTTGGTGGGTCGGCCCAGTCAGCCATGTGGACAAAAGCGAAGGGTTAACTATATAATATGATAGACTTGCTTATTAAACCTATCTGCATATATAAGAATGAATAAAGTGCTTACGTTACAGCTTGAACCAGGCCAAAGATGACAAAACGCCTGGTGGGTCCTATGCTGTCATGCGCTATGTGGCTACGCAGTGGGTTGAACTCATGCTTCGCATCATGCAGAATGCTTTGTCGCCGCATCACCTTCAAGACATCGATTCAATGGAATGTGCGGAAGATGTTCTCACTACTCATCTGAGATTCCTCATCTCGGTTCTGAAGCAGTTGGATGAGTTTGCCCAAATTTTCAGGCACTTCCCTTGGAGGTTCAGGCTTCTTTTTGACCAAGTACCTGCTGTTGTGGAATCCACTTTGAAACAGATGCGTGAAGAATGGGAATTCCTGATGGTGATTGAACAAAACACTGTCCTACATGGGAAGTACCCTCTCAATCAAATGCCTTTTCTTCGATGGTATGTATACCGTGAAGTCATGACGCTGGCTGAAGAAAGGGGATGGGTGGCTTCACAAGATTTGGTGGATTTGGCCAAAGCATGGTTTTCTGACCCCTGCTCAACTCTGGGATGTGAAGATTCGTTTCGAGCACTGCGCATGGCAGAGGCCCGACATCAAAACAACAAGGAAGTTTGCCCAGAAAAGCTTCAAGCTCTTACCATCAAGTCGATCAATGAGAGGTACAAAGAGTTCGAATTGGCCGAGCTCAAGTCCAGTGACTACCATGGGGTTCGACCTGGTACGTACATGAAACGGTCCGTGTTTGATTGCAGCCGTGCTAGTGCCAATGACACTGGGATAGCCAATTTCAACCAGATCATGAAAACAACCACGGTGAGTCCCCATCATTTGAGTCGCAAGAGCTTGAGCATGTGGGAAGCCTACAAGATGACCAACGGAAATTCCCAGAACTGGTGGACTGCTCAGCTTGTCAGATCTCACCAGGCTGGGAGCCATACAGTTATACTATCGGGGACCTTTCTTAGATTCTTTATTCATTGATTGCTTGATAAACATCATCTGTAAGTTTGTGATTCGATACTTTGGTGTTTCATTCTAAAATTTGGGGAGATAGCCAGGTTGCTTGGGTGAGCCAAGAAATCAAAACCATTAGTCAGAGTAAAATACAAGCATTTGCTTTTGCTTGTGGGGCACCCTTGTAAACTTCTACCTGTCCTCCATTGCAGGTGATCCACGTTGGGAATTCGTTTTCGCTTGTGGTGGATGCACCCTATGTCAAGCTCAAAGTGTGGCCGCTTCAGCCTGGGGAGAACAACGCATCAGATCGGAAGACCCTTCGCCTGGATATGTCAGAATGGCACCTGAAGGTGCGTGTTTTTCCAGTAGTTCAGATTGAGTCTCACTACTGTAGCAATTACATTATAGATCAAGTCGATTTTTTAATACACATATAAATATATATATATATTTATTTATTTATACATCTAAATATATATATATATATGTATATATATATATATATTTATATTTATATTTATACATGTACACCAGATTATACAAGGGTGTGTCATTGAAATATACAATGAAATGAGGCTGTTTTTCCCCACCTGCCAGGTGAGGGTTGTTAGATTTTATCACAGTTGTTCCACCTTCTCCTCGTCCTCCTCGTCCTCCTCCTTCTCCTCCTCGTCGTCTTCTTTCTCCTCCACCACCTCTGCCTCCACTTCCACGTCCACTTCCGCCTTGCCAACTCTTCGCCAATCTCTTCGCCAACTTCCGCGCGCAGTGGGCACTGCTGGACCTCAACTGCCGGCTTCCGATCTGAGTGGGCACGGCTGGACCTCAACCGCAGGGTTCTGAGCACAGTGGGCACCGCTGGAGATCAACCAGGGACCTTCCGAGCCCAGTGGGCACCGCTGGACCTCAACCTGGGACCTTCCGAGCTCAGTGGGCACCGCAACGGCCAGATGGAATGCCAGAATATATGCCACATAGAATGCCACATAGAATGCCAAAATATGCGAGAAAGAATGCCACATAGACCGCCAGACAGAACGCCAAAATATGTACCAGATAAAATGCTGGAAGATATGCCAGCTAGAATATCAGAATAGATGTCAGATAGAATGTTAGGTAAAATGTCAAAATATATGTCAGAATATATGACTTGAAATGCCAGAGTGGGGATCACTCGAAGTAAAGTAATTACGTTTGCCATGCCCTTGGGTGCCGACCACTCTTTCTTTGGCCAGGCATTGATCTTGGACGAGCCCTTGAATGCCAGCATTGTTCCCTACCGCGTGGAGTTGACCACATCTGGTGGCTTTGAACTTGTGGTGACAGAGGCGTGGCAACCACTGGTGAACTATGCGCTTGAGAAGTATGCGCATCGAATCTTTACTGAACTAATTGTTTGGGGTGTTGGGGTTTGACTGTTTTTTGGATATGATCAGTTCAAGGATTTTGAAATTCAGTGATCCATCATGGTCAATTTTATCTTACCCATAGGGGGTCTACAGGGTCCAGAAATCATCCCATCAGTTCATGTAAATATGGTTGCAATTCAATTTCTTAGGGCCCATTCATTTAATATTGCTCTTCAAATCCCCCACCAAAGACGCAAAATGAATTTAGATGTTCGAAACAATTTCAAATACAGTATCAGTCAGATATAAGATATCCCATCCAGATTGGTTTGGTGTTCTTAGGATAATCCAGGTTATGATAATTCATAGGTTCAAATTTCAGCAAACACTAGGACGTACAAATACCATGCATCCACATGTAGTCGCAGCGGCAAAGGCATATTACCACCATATGCATTTACACAAACACTGGCAAGGTCACATGTTCACATGCCAAAAACACATACCACAAATCCACTGACCTTTGAAGGGCCAAGCGCGTCCAGGGAAGGTGTCGCATCATACTTTAAAATGCAACAGCACACCGGACTCCACAACCCTTTTTGGATTTCCCTTTGTTCGTTCAGTGGTTCATTTATTCATTTTTACACATACACATGCATACATGTACATATGACTATGTATTGCAAACATCGAAAACGCGTACGCACACCAAAATTACTTGTTCAATTCCACTTACCCCTTTGGGGAAGGCATCCAGGAAAGGCGTGATAGAAGGTAACAAAACATTTTTCAATAACTATATTTTAGCCCCAAATCCACCGCCCCTTTGAGATAGGAAGCGCATCGTAGAAACACAAAAAACAAAGTCGCTTCGACCATGCAACAAACCGGGGATCATATCATCCTCGATTGATTCGCGGCCTCGTACATTCTATTTCATATTTGTTGTTAATTCTTGTATCTGGATTTTTCATTTGTTCGTTCGTTCGTTCGTTCATTCATTTCATTCACTCATTCATTCATTCACTCATTCACTCACTCTTTCTGTTGTTTTCTTTCTTGCGTTCTTTATGTCTTTCTTTTTTCTCGTTCTTTCTCTCTTTCTGTCTTTCCATTCATTGATTCTTCCCATTTATTGATTCGTTCATTCATGTTTTCATTCATTCATATGTTTTCTTGCTTTCATTTCATTCCTTCTGTATTTCTTGTTTCTTCGATCTTGATCTTTCTTTCATTTGGTTTCTGACTTTTTGTTGCTCTGTCTGTGGTATTTCTTTGTTTCTTTCTCAGGTTCTTTTTTCCCTTTCTTTCTTTCTTTCTTTCTTTTTGGTTGTTCTGTTTTCTTTGTCCCTCCTTCTTTTCTGTTATTTTCTTTTCTTTGTTTCTTTTCTTTTCTTCTCCTTTCTTTGTTTCTGTCGTTCTTTCTTTGTTGATTTATTCGTCGGTTTCTTTCTCTCTTTCTTTCATTCTTTCCGTTCATTTATTATTTCCATTCATCCATTCATTTGTCATTTCTTCTCTCTTTCTCTCTTTTTTCTCTTTTTCATTCACTCACTCAATCAATCATTAATTCATTCATTCATGCATTCCTTCACTCACTCGTCATTCATTCATTCATCCGTTCACTTCCTTATTCACTCATTCATTCATTCTTTTTCATTTCATTCCGTTCCATTCCATTTCATTTGAATTCGTGTCATTCATTCAATCAGCCATGCAGACATGAATGCATTCGTTCAGTCTTTTATTCTTTCAGTGTCTACACGCACATACAATGATACATGCATCCATTCATGCACGGGTTGCATATAAATTTGCACATATTATGCATATAGTACATTGACATAAATTTATGCCTGCAAACATCGAAAACGTGTATGCACGCCAAAATTATTTGTTCAAGTCCACTTACCCCCTTTTGGGGAAGGCGTCCAGGAAAGGAGTGATAGAAGGTAACAAAACACTTTTCAATAAGTATATTTTAGCCCCTAAATCCACCGCCCCTTTTAGATAGGGAGCGCGTCATAGAAAGACAAAAAGAACATTGTATATTTGACCACGCACTTGGACATGGACTGCAAGTAGTTGCAAAGCAGAAGCAGCATGGGTTGTTTCGTGCTTGAGTTCTGTTGGAGTTTTTGCACTGACAGATTGTCCTTAAGTATTTGTTTCGTTTTTGAGGGGAAAAGAAAAACGCTGAGGGACAAAGACAACTACTGGCCCAAGAGAAAGTTGGCAGATCTAGACACATGGATCGCGAACGTAGTAGATTGCCTGTGCCACGACCAAACGGTCAAACCAATGGTGATGGGGAGCATGAGATGAAAAGAAATCTCCTTTTGCTTACCCTTGCGACTGTTGTTGCGGCAGGGTTAGAGGTTGTTGAGAAGACCCTGGAATCTCGTGGTTTGGGAGGGAAACCGGGTGCGAGCAAAATGCTGTCGGCAGCAGTGTCGCAGAGCAGCGCATCTTCCCAAGTTTGTGAGCCAGGTGCCTCAGTGCCTACGCAGGAGTACCAGACCCAAGACCATAATGTTGCTATGCCTTTTGAGCGGTCGCAAGATGATACTATGCCTGTTCAACCTGACAGCCCAAAGACACCAATTCGCACTCATGAGGATCTTTCCAAAGTTTTTGTCCCAGCGGTCAAAAACGCAAGGGAAGAAGCGAAACTCGCATGGTACGGGTTTCATTTCCATGATGGTGATGATGCCTGTGGTTCCCCGGGATACCATGAGCAAAAGGCTTTGTGGCAGCGTAGGTTTGATGAGCTCGGCATATTTCAAACCTCTGGGCCATCTCCACTTGCCAAAAGCAAGCAAGAGGAGGAAGTTGTGCAAATAGATGACGGTGTTTGATTGCACTTTTTTGGCTGTTAGATTTTGTGGTATATATATATATATGTGGGGCAGACTGGGCAACCTCGCGTGCTCATCTGAGTACATCAATTAGCTTTCAGTTGGGCGAATCTCTAGACATGCCTTCTTGACCTGGCGTGTTGGAAGGAAAAAAAGCTGAGACAATCCATCAAAACATTCATATTTGTGGAAATTCATTTTTTCAAAGCAGTACGCATGCTCAGAGACCCCAATTGGAAATCTTCTAGATTGGGAACTGTTTATTATACTGTTATGTTCATTGTTCGGTTGCTTTTTTTTTTAGCACAACACTGTAAAACCTTGGGTTCATAGTTCCATCCAATCCATCTAAGGACTCAGTGCAGAAGCTTTGAAGGGTTTGATTGGCCTCTACGCAATTCCGGGCTGCAGTGGCAATTGCACCAACAAGTTGCGGGTAGAACGCCTTCTACAGCACCTTCACTACAGCCCTGACCTCATCCAAGAGATCCTTGCCAAATTCCCCAAAAAGGAAGAGGACCTGGGAAATGATGGTGATGAGATGTGTGATGAAATGCAAGTGGACAACCAATGTGAAGCTGAAATGTTGGCCAAAATTTTGGAAGGCATGGAGAAACATCCAGATTCATCAACTGAACCTCCTTCGAAAAAAACACGACATGACAAAAAGGACGAACGGAAACCAGTGAACCACGGTGAGTTTGTACGACTCATGGACAAACCTGACTTGTCAAGTGAGCAAGTGCCACCAGGTTGTACCCTCAAAATTCACCAGGGCAATTCCAACCCCTACGTTCAGGGGATGCTTCCCCCATCCATGAAATGGAAGGGATACAACTCACACAGTCGCTCGTTTAGTAGCAGCGGAGCTGCATCATCTAGTGACAGTAACGTTGGCAAGCGCACGGTGTTGGGAGAGCAGGCAGAACTTGGCTGTGGGACTGGTGGAACCACCAAAAATGAGTGAAAGCCTGTGGGAAAAGAAGTAAAACATAGATGTCATACTCCAAAACTTACATAGATTTCATCCTCCAAAAGAAAATGTTGATTTTGTGAGTTTGATCCCAGTTGACAGCTTTTTCACGGGACACTCATCATAGCAGCCAACTTTCAGGAACCTTTCATCGCACAGGGGAAGTGATGTGGGAAAAATGCTGCTCTGCTGATTGTCTTGGTTTCCCCACAAAACCATTGAGATGGGTACATACCACTGGGAAGGTACGGGGATTTGCAAACATTCCTTCGATCTATTGATCATGTAATCGCAATTGCCATAAATTATGGTTTTTGTTTGATAATTGATTCTAGTGGATAACACTTATCCAATCATAATCGTGGAAAAAATATTGGGAATTACCGATCAAAGAAGACTGCAGGAACATTTGGCAGGAAACCACTGTTTTTACCGCCAATTACCGGCGTATTCTTTACCGTCACTTTTGCCTTCACCCAGTTCGGCGATAGAGCAAGTCATCTTGGCCGTTTCATTTTTTGCGGCTTGGTACATGTTGACAAATACCCTGGGGTAAACTTTTACACAGATGTGGAACAGTCATGGTTTCCCTAGGAAAAAGATCTACATTCATGCTGGGGTTTCCACATCCATGATCGTTTACAGGAGGATATCTGGCTGAGATATTACCATTGTTTGTTGGTGATATCCCAAAATTACATAAAAATACCATTGTTTGTAGGAGATATAACAACATTTCACCAACAAACAGCTGGTAATTTTAAGGATTTTTAAGGGAGGCATAAACCGCGGCTCCGTGCGGCTCCATCATGAAAATTGTGAGCATTTAATGTGATTTGATATGACCGACCACATGCCGTACATGGCTAAAATAATGCTAAAATGATCTAAGATCTCTCGCCATCTCAGGAGATCAGCAGTCAAGATGATCCAAAATGGCAGTAACTATTATATTAAACAAACTTCAGTTTTGAGGTCTGCGACTGATCGTATTTCATGAGCAAATGAACATTGAGGGCCCGATTGCGTCAAAATCATGGGAACGTGAAAAGAATGGGTAGAACTCAAACGTAGCTAAAATGATGAGAACGCTGGCTGTAGCCCTTTTTCTGCCTTAACATTGTACAGACTTAATCGATGGCAACAAGCAGCTTCAGCACCTAGATTGTAGACCATCGGGTGGACACTAACAAGGAAACAGTCAGAATGAAACGTGTCCGTGTTACACGTGCATTCAATTTTCCATGCCTTACACATTTCATAGCATCTAAATCTAAACCTATCTGAACCTCATTCACAATTCAACATAACAGTCGAGTCTTCGTTTTTTGATGGCGCCACATGTCAACATCCGGGGAAAAAAAACAATGCCTTGATATGCCTTGATCCAAATCCCATCTCCAGATTTCACCCGCTCACCTGCTGCCTTCGCTGGGCTGCAGCCAGTGCAGCTGCTTTCTGACGTCCTTTGTGACCCCTGGCAGCACTTTGAATCTTCACAGCCTCAGAGTCGCTGGATATCTTTCAAAGGTCCTGGAACTCACACACAGCTGCGCATACGCATTAAACATATCAATATGTCTAATACATACAAAATAATGTCTAATACATATCAAAATTAAGTATATATATATATGATTTTGTATGTATTAGACATTTTTAGTTAGACATTATTAGAGACATATAAATGAGACATATAAATGATCTGGGCTGAGCTGTGAGAAACGGTGTCACACCCGCGCATGTATTCATTTGCTGTCAAGGATTTTGCGTGTATGGTCCTGTAATAGGGAAGCCAAACTTACAGTAAATGGTAAGCAAAATCATGCACAAAATCAACCATACACATCCATAGGTCCATATACATTTTAATATGCTGATGATTGGAATTGTGGAAGCCTTCCATTGCAACCGTCACATGAGTCAATATTGAAATCATGGCGTGACAAAACCATTGTGCCCTTCCCTTCCCATCAAAGCCAATTTCACAGTTGGATAATTAAGAAATCATTGGACAGTTATTGGATTGCATATTGTTTTGTTTCCTACCATTTTACTACCATTTCCCGAAACTCAAAAAAAAAACAACAGCACTGGGCCAAAGCAACCGCCGCGTGCAACACTTCCGGTGGTGGCGGCAAATGGCCCATAGAAGCCTGGCAGTCGTCATCCATGACGACTGGATGATTTGGGGTACCCCCATGGATTGGAAACCTCCATTGTGGGATATTATGGGTATATCAATGGGATATCAATAGAATATCTATGGAATATCATGGAATATCTATGTTTAACAACAAATATCGGTTGAGGCGACAAATATCAAACAAACATGGGATTTTGAAAAAACATTAGTATTGGATAACTTGAAGGGATAGAAGTGACAGTATCGTGGAACGTTATTGATAATAATGATCCAAAGATATTCCTGGATTGTTCTGAGGAAAATTGGGCAGGAAATCCTAGTTGTTCTCATCCAATATGGGGTTGTCCTGAAACCGTTCCCTTATACCAATTAGACTATGACGATTTCGCCCCAATTCCTGGCCAGGCATGTCTCCAGAACCTCCTCCGGAGAAGGTTCGTCCTGATCAAAGGCCGATCTGCAGCCAGCCAAAAATCGCGGGATTTCACAGGAGTTGTTTTCGTGAGTTCACCACTTTCAGACTACCTGCTACTGGTGAAGTGTTGAAATTCTTTCGTCCTTTTGGAAAATGGCACTTCTTGACCAAGGGGTGTGACTTTTCTTCCGCCGCATGGTTTTTCCCGTTCGCCAGGCCCTTCGAAGGGTTGCCATATTTCATGGGGTGCATGAAACTGCACCATCAGAGCCTTCAAATCCATGCAGGAACTGCAAGAAACCCGACTAATTCTAGACATGTTTATTTACAAATCCATGAGGTAAATCCGAGAAACCAAGCTAATTCAATGATTTTTCGAACATGCCGCTCCTACAGTACACCTTCAAATCAACGCAGGAAATCGAAAACACCAAGCTAATTCAAGCATTTTCAAGACATCAATACATATAAAAATGTTCGCAAACAAATATAGCACCATACCATTATTGCCATCCATTGGCATCCACAGCTTGTTTTCCATGCAGGAAATGACCTGGGCCAATTAGGATCCAATAGCTCTCAACACTCTATAGTTTGCAACCCGTCAATTAGATGCAATGCGCAAAGACTTGTGCTGGCAGCTTCTTTGGATCCCTGCCCTGAAGGCTGGGCGGTCACTGGAAGGGTTCAGGATTGATTCCCATATATCAAAAGGTGCTGTACTGAAACCTTGCTATCAGAAAGACATGTTTTTCCTAAGGACGAAAGAATTCAAAAAATCACCAGTATACCAGGTACCAGGACCAGATATTGAAACAACAGATTGAAAAAACATTGCAAATCACATATATCATCAATTTATTATATATATATGGGAACCCCTGTAGGCCTCAAATCGAATTGAGCCTACAGCCCGGTCAGTCATTGCCCGTCCTGCGCCGCAGCTGGTGCGGATCAAAGTGTGCAAGTGCGGTGACTATAGCCTTTACGTGTGAGTTGTGATGGGAGGAAAGCGGGGTAGCTCCTCTAGTGGGCCTTCTGACCCATCGCCCGGTGGTGACCCAAGTGATGACCCCAGTTCTTCAGAACCTTTTCGTCGATATCCCTTAGAAGGTCTCTATCTTAGGTGGGACGATGACCCTGCCATCCGTGATCGTTTGAGGGATGGTGGCCATTTGATGCAGCATTGGGACTCAAAGTCTAAGTCTGCGAAGAACATGTTTGTAGAGAAGTTGGTTGAAAACCTGCGGCTCAATGCTCGCGTCTTGTCTCCTCTATTCAGAATCATGTCCAACTATGAGCGTGCCCAACCAGTTTTGGACAACTTGATGCAGCAGATTTCCTTACTCTTTGACCGGAGCAAAGTGAAGTTCACACTTCATGGGGATCGCATATATCAAGAAGCGTGGGCTATTCGCAGATTATGTGCGCTGGCCAAAGCACAAGTGTTTCGCAAGGGCCCCCCAAAGGACAAGGGTGTTTGATATATTTACGTTATGTTGCAAGACCTGCGATATATGACTGGAATGCCCCATGGATAAAAGTTTATATATAGATGTATATAGACAATTATAAACGCTGCATGGGTGAACCCACTGCCCCCCTCTGGTCCTTTCACTGCAGGATACCATTTTGCGTTCCTTGATGCAAGACCTTGGATACAAAGACGAGGCACGGGCCACCCTAGATTTTCACTACAGTCTGTCATGAAAAACGCATCCCCATACACCCATAGAAACCAAAGCAATTCAATCCCTGAAAGATGTGGGTGTTTTGAATATGTACGCTTGTACTTGCATATATAAGATATATAGTAATGCCTGGCAGGATTTTGGTCCACGCCTGCCCGACACTTCTCCTTCTGGTGAATCTTGGGCCTATTTATGTGGATCGTGATTGGGTTGCAATGGGTTCACCGGTGTTCACCGTCATGCCTTGCACGCATGCCTTACAAAACCCAATATTGATAGTGGAACGACATGGAAGTAAACAAGCAATTTTATGCAGAACATATAGCATTGTATATTTTTGATGTGGTTGCAGAGCAGCTCACCTGGTGAGAGAGAGAGGGAGAACTATATATGAGTAAAATTGTTGTCATCCTCCCCATTGAACCTTTTATTTGCTGATGTGGATCAAAGGTTTCTGGTTAAAGCATTTTGGTTTACTGCTATAACGGTTATATAGAATGAAACCTCGACCTCAGTCAATGTTTCTTTTTTCAATTTTTCAGCCAGAGCCGCCAAGGGCAGCACTCGCAGCGGGACTTCTGATCCTGTGACGCCGCCTACTCGCACTCCTGTCCTTTCACCTGGTGGGGCCTTGCCTGCAGAGGGTGGTTCAGGTTCTGCACCTGCTTCAGCAACCAGTTCAGGGGGGGGAGCCCGAGCCAGCACACATGAGCCAGATTCCAACCCGAATCCAATCCCACCCCAGCAGGAGGAACCCGGACCTAAGCCATCATCCGACCTTGAAGCTGTGGCATTCGCCCTCAATTTCTTGATAGAGAACCCTGACTACCTTCCGGATCCCGAAGACACCCCAGAAGAGAACCCAGAAAACCTTGAAAAGAAAAGACATGAGCCCCATGAATCTTCTGGTAGATCTTCCAAGTCCAAGAAACCGGAGCCCCCAAGACGTCGAGCCACTCTGGAAGAGATGCCAGCCGTTGTTCGAACACCACGTGCACGGGAAACATGCAAGCCTGATGGCCCTTCGACGGGTGAGCCCCCCAGATCTTCCACTGATTGCCTGACTACAACTGAGGAGCCCCCAAGAAAATGTGATGCCGCAAAATATGCATGTGTTTTAGGTTTTTTTTTTTCCAAAGTGTATGTGTTTTAATCAATTTTGAAACGTGATTATTTTTCGGATATCACTATATGCCATCCCTGCCAGGAGACCAGTTCGAAGAAGGACGGGAAGCCTGGGGACCCTGCTTATTTTTCAATAAATCGGAGGTGTATATATATATATATATAAAAAACAACATATAGATGCAAAATGCTGTAATACATATATAGATCTGTTTTGAGATACATAAGAAAAGGTTTGAAATTTCATTGCCTTTAAAAATACAGTCCTTTAGTTAGAACCTTTTTGCTTCCATTGCAACATCGTAAAATCAGTGCCCCTGAGGTGGACATTGTGGAGCTTTCTGATGACGAGGAAGCCGAAGATGTAGCACGTGAGAGGATGGTTGACCAACTGGAATCAGTTCTTGCCCAGTTGAGCCAGTGCCTAGTTGGATGTTTGATATGTTGCCGCTTCGTCCATCCCCATTGGCATTTTTGACTTGTGTGGGATACTGTGAAGAGTGGTTCCTTATCATGAGAGCAAGAGGGATAATTAATGATAATGATGATGATGATGATGATGGTGATGATGATGATGATGATGATGATGTCTGTGTGTGTGGTGTGCGTGCGTGTGCATGTGCATCTGTGCAGAATTTGGTCCAGTACATTCTGTTGGAGCAATCATGCGCAACATTACCTATATCTTCAAAAAACACAAGACCACATATCGTTCTGAGATTGGCTCACCCCCATGAAGGCTCAGCCTTCAACACTGTTTGCCATCTAAGGACGAACCCTGCTGCCATCCCAGGTTTGATCAAAATGGGGACCGCGCCATCTGGTCCGACGGAAGGCACCTTGATGGCACAGGAGAGTTGGCAAAACGTCAGACATGCAGCAAAAAAGGGTTCCCACTTTTTATGGGTTATCTTGCGTGGTAATAGGTGGTGTTTTCATTTTGTATGTGTTTCTATATATGCAAACCATCCATCAGGTGACACTCTGACCTATGTGCCAGACTCCATTCCCATGGGCAACGATGCTGATGAGACACAGCTATACGAAGTACCAGACTCCCAGTTGGTTAACACCCCATTCATGAAGGAAGCTCTGTCCAAAGAGGCCGCAGGATGTGCTGAGGCGCTATTGGGAAAAAACAGTCGCATATATCCATCGGTATCATACATAAATATTATAAATATATAAGAAATAAGTGCAGATTGTTTCTGATCTTCACTTCTGGTGGGATATTTGGTATCAATGTCCATGTAGATGCGCACCGTTTTTGAAAACAGGGAAGGCATGTTTTTTCTGTAAATAAGCAATGGTTCGAGCAAAGGCTTTTGCATGCACACCCTCCCAGGCAACTGAGCTTGAGGTGCCAGAGCACCCAGCCATCACACGGCGTGCGCAGTTCAAGGTGAAGTCAGTGATCAAGGAAGAGAAATTGGCAAAGAAAGGTGAAGGCAAAGGCAAGGGAAATGCAAAAGTGAAAGGCAAGGGTAAGGGCAGAAAGGGCAAGGGAAAGGGCAAAGGTAAAAAGGGATGTAGGAAGAAGAACATGCCCGGCAAGGGACGCAAAAGCAAGGATGAGGATACCACCCATGGACCGCGAAGGAAGCTGTCGGTCTTGAAACTCACCTCTTCCCGGTCCTTACTCCGCAAATCCAAGCGCTCCAAAAAACGAATGCCTGTGCACCCTGATGAGTCGGTAGGAACCCAGGATTCAAAAATGGCAAAGCCAACCGATGCCAATCAGGGCACACAGGATGCGGAGGATGTGGATTTGGATGAGCCAACCCAAACAACAAAACAACCCAAGTCACGCAAGGAAGCACACAAGGAGGCAGGAGAGGCCCCGACCATGGACACCAAGAAACCTTCAAGTTTGGCAGGCAAATCGGCCAAGGCCAAGGCTGCCTCACGACAAAAACCAAAAGGCAAAGCAAAGGCCAAAGCAAAGGCCAAAGCAAAGGCCACAATGGAAAAGTCGGCACGCACAGGCAGCAAGAAGAATGGTAAGCAGTTCCCCTCAAGGGATCAAATGCTACAGACAGCAGAGGAGGCTTTGCAGGGGAAGTTCAACAGCACAGGGATGAAGGTTGATTCTATGAATGTCAACCAACCTCTCAAAGAGATGTTTGAAGGGTTGATGGCAGAGTGCCAGGGGCATGACTATTGTGATGGTTCATGCCACCACTTTGACTACCTGGAATGTGCTGCTTTCC